GTACAGGAACTTGTAAAACAAGTTTGGCGCCGATGGTTGCGAGAATGGTTACCAGGTCTCATTCCTCGGAAAAAGTGGAAGAAAGAGCAAAGAGACATTAAAATTGGTGACATTGTACTTGTAATAGCGTTAGATTCACCCAGGGGTCATTGGCCTTTAGGACGTATTATTGATGTTTACCCTGGTAAAGATGGACTTGTCCGGGTGGCGAAAGTGCAAACCGCAAAGAACATTATGATTAGACCTATTTCAAAACTCTGTCTACTGGAAAATGTTGAATAGAACTGAACATTGACTTAATGAAACAAATCAACGAACATAATTCATAAAAGTAAAATAGTTTATGAAATTTTGTACTTTGCTTATACTTTCAAAGATAATAAGGTACAGGCAGTTGATGAATCTTGTGCGTAACACAAAATATTTAATAATTGAACTATGATGTTCGCGGGATAACACAAACATTAGGTAGTAGGATGTTCGTAGGATTCAAGGGTTTACGATATTCTTAGTTAAGGCCTAGGGTTATCATATGCTGGAAATTCGGAGAGTACGGTAATTATTAAATAAACATTCAAAACATACTAGCAGCCCTCGAAATTAGCGTCGGCATCACGTTATGAACACATTGTAAGAGCGGGAATGCGAGTAGGCCTATCTAGCTAGGTCCTATTCTCTGCATCCACCTAATACCACCACGGAGCCCGTACTCGCTACATACAGCAAATGGGTTTGTATAAAACATTTAAACTAGTTGTTTAGACTTTATTCATGATGATTAAATATCTTCCACAAAATACACGCATATTATTACTGTATATGCTATTTTTATGACCGACGAGGCTGTCATTAGGCAATACCTACAGCATTCCAAAGCTGATTATAATCATCTCAATAAACTGTTGCATCTCGTCCCATGGTCTGCATATACATACATCAATGCATCTTGGGAAAACTTTATGAACATTCTTGATGCTGCTGTGCGCGAAAGTATTAGGATATCTCGAAAAGCTCACAGGCATTCTAGTCCATGGATCACAAAAGAATTAAAGAAGCTTACTCTTGCAAAAGAAAAATATCTTATTTCGTAAAGCCCGTAAAACCAAGAAAAAATCAGACTGGGATGCGTATAAAATAGTCCGTGGTCAAGTTAAATGCAAAGTTAGACGTTCGTATGGCGAATATGTGGACACACTTTTTAAAACAAATGATAATAAGAAACAATTCTGGAAATTTGTGAAAGAAAAGGAAAGTACTAAGTTATCTTCTAAGTTTTTAATTAATCATAATAGTGTAAAGTACGAAACTCCTGAATTGATGTCAAACGTTTTTAATGATTATTTTGTTTCCGTGTTTAATTTTTCTGATGATTTACCTTCTCATCCGCCTTCTGGGAACCTTCATGATTATGATTTGGCTTGGAAAAGTTATAGTGATTTGTTTGCTTAAGCTGCCCCCGACCATCTTTTGGTCAAATAAATAAACTGAAACTGAACTGTTTACTTTTTGCTAGAATACGTCGTATGGTGGATCACGTGCTCTCTACAATGTCGTTTTTCTCGATGTTTTTCGCTCGATCGGCACAAATTTGTTTTGACTTTAGTGATGATTATGGGTTCAATTCCCGGTTTAATTACAGTATCTTACAAAAAATATATACATGCATATTTTATGCTATATTATGACGGACGAGGTTGTTTACATCTTGCTTCAAAGCATACTTCGTTCGTAGGGGCGGCGAATCACTTGTCGCCGACGCTCGATCGGTACCGGTTCGACCCGATTTAACGGTGTTTGGACGTTTTGTGACATTGATAAAATGGGTTTGAATGAAATTAAAATTTTAGTTGTTTTGTTGTGATGATTTATCCGATTATAAAATACAGGGTTAAGCCTATATATAGATGCTGTTTTGATTTTCGTGATAATGCTAGTTTTAGGAGGGAAATTGCTGCATGTTTTTGACGTGGGCCTCATGCACAGCACAATGTTGTCTTCAAGTGCCGGTCATTAAAAAATGACGCGAGTCGAGTGAAAAGAGTACAAATATTTCTAGCTTATCACTTACATTTGAAAAGTTAACACAGTGATTTAATAATTGTTTAATGATTGAAATACATACTACGGTACTGTACCAAGTTAAATTACTTTCATTAATAAAACAGTAAAATTATACATAAACACAAAAGTCAATCCTGCTTCGTGGCCCGCTTCGTGGTTCAGTCGTAAATAAGATGCGAACCAATTCAGGGACTCCCCTTGCTTTTATTTGCCGTCCGATTCGATCGTGTGTTCTGCAGTACCAATTTCGAGGCTTTGTATATCAACATAATAACAACCAAAATAATAGATTTCATTGTATTCGATAACATGAAAAACAACCAGGCAATTTACAATGTGACGTGATGATGATCGCCGAATCGGCTTTGTTTACAATCATCATCGATGGCGTAGGCCGTGTACAATACATCAAATTTCAGCTTCGCACGTTACATTGTAAGGTAAAAATTTTGCAAAAACTAAGCTAATTTAGACGTAAACAATGTATATTATTAATAATATTAACCATCGTACGCAGACGAGTGTTCGTGCTGTCACTCTGGGCCTAGTGTAGGACAGTATTTAGTATAGTGATCAAAATTCGTTAGTGTTAGCCCAATCGATTTGCTTTTCTAACAATGCCTGGTCTTCAATTCTTTGTTTTTCCAAATTCGCTTACTAGTGGCTCAAATTGATAAAGCTGCTCCATTTCTTTGCTTCCTTTTTTAGATCAGTACTTTACAACTGAACCTCTTTCATATGTCGCGCTATACGATGTTTGTATTACATAAACAGGATGGCTGTGATTGTTATACCGAGTCTACGTCATCAGCTCTACTCACACTTCAGTGAACATCTCCAGTGGGATAATAAATAATAAATAAATATTTTAATACCACTCAT